GAAACCTTAAATTAGAGTGAATAAATGAAGACTTGGCACACCGCTTCTGAAAGGTTGCTGACCCCTGGTCTAGTGGGATGCATGACTTACCAATGATTTATATTAGCCCAAGGGGCACAAGGAGGATTCTCACAGATCCCAGGGACATACCATATCAGTGAGATTTTCCCCGCTTCCCCCCGCCCCTCCCTAGTTCAGGGAAGCTGCTTACTCGGTTCACTGCACTGTGTCTATTTCATTTTTAAATACCACCTCCTTCTGTCCCATCCCCATCCCCCAAGGGGCAAACTGAGCCCTTTTCCTACCTCATGGACGTGGCCGTATAGCCAGTGGGTCGGATGGCTTGGGAAACTGCTGAAAGCTTTGATCAATTCCTGTCTCCGGTGATACAGCTGAATCACTTTCAACAGCACGCAGGTCAAGCCGAACACAGCAGCCAGGTGAAAAACCCGATAGATATCCACCCCCAGCCAGGACCAGGAGGGCTTTAACCCTCTCTCTAGCACAGAGGTCATGTTCCTGCTGCTTCTGTTTGGCTCCCGCAAACTGCACTCATTGTCCTGTCTCACCCTTCTTTTGCTACAGTTATAGTCAGGCAGCCTCAGCCAATACTGTGCAAAGAGGAAGGATTTCAGAGGCTGATTTGTTGCCAAATCATGAGAGTCTTTATTGGAGGGAAGAGTCCAACCAGCACAGCCTCGGGGAGACATCGTTTGTGAGGGGAAGAGTGCAGCAGAGCAACAATCTGGCCTGCCTTTCCTGGAGATTATGGCAGCAGGCTAGGCTGCGACGCGTATAACACTCCCATCGCACTGCTGTCAAGAACGGCACAAGGTGTAAGGTAGTGGAAAATCAGCCCCACTGAGTGACCTCCATTGTTCAACGAGGATAAAGAGAACCGTCCAGTGGCTGCTCATTAACTGAGCACCATCCATCCTGTGCACTGAATGCGTCAGGGCGCCGGCAGGAAAATTAGTATGCAATCGTGTAACTAAAGACTGGTTTCGGAGGGGTCGCCGTGGTAAGAAACCCAGGAGCAGGCAGATGTAGGATAACATGCTTCATGCATTAACCTTCTCTTAAGGTTTCAGAGTGGTAGCCGTGTTAGTCTGTATCAGCAAAAAGAACGAGGAGTCCTTGTGGCACCTTAGAGACTAACAAATTTATTTGGGCCTAAGCTTTCGTGGGCTAAAACCCACTTCATCAGATGCATGCAGTGGAAAATACAGTAGGAAGTTTTATATATATACTGAGAACATGAAAAATGGGTGTTGCCATACCCACTCTAACGAGACTAAGGTGGTATCAATTAAGGTGGGCTATTATCAGCAGGAGAAAAAAAAAAGTTTTGTCATGATAATCAGGATGGCCCATTTCCAACCGTTGAAGAAGGTGTGAGGAACAGCAGGGGGAAAATTAGCACGGGGAAATAGTTTTTACTTTGTGTAATGACCCATCCACTCCCGGTCTTTATTCAAGCCTAGTTTAATGGTGTCCAGTTTGCAAATTCATTCCAGTTTTGCAGTTTCTCGTTCGTAGTTTCTCGTTTTGATGGAAAGTCTCCAAGCTGCCCTATTTGGAACCTATTCTCCATGTCGGCCATGTCTACACTAGAAAATTGTGCTATTTTAATGACTCCAGTATAGCTGAAGTGGTACAGGCGTTATACCAGCATGAAGGTGCTTAGTTAGAGCTGTTTCTGTAAGGGAAGAGGAATAACTATACTGGTATCAGGCACTTTTATACTGATATAACTGTGGCCTCGTTTGGGCTTGTACCAGTAGAACTATATCAGTGAACAAACCAGCCCCTTCATCAACATGGTTATCGTGGTACAACCTTCAAGTGTAGACAAGCCCTTCGTCTGAAATGGCTCAGATGTGGGCAGACTGCAAAGCCCATTTATTCAGCCACGCCTTTGTGGAGGGAGGGACACGCTAGAAGCGATCAATTATGTGGAAGAGGGTGAGAATTGTTGGGTTGGCTTCTCCTGTGCACTGTTAGCGTTGGCACAGGGGTGTGGAGCAGCTGCTGACTTTACTCTGGATTGATTGTTGTTTTTAAGCATTGCCAAAGGCCTAGGCCAGGTGCTTGTATCCACAGTGTTATAAATCTGAATAAATAAGCAATAGAAATCTGTTTATCGAGTTGAGCTGTCACAGGTGATTAACGCTGGGGCATACGCCCTCCATGGACAATCCTGACTCACTTCTGCCTGTGAAACTCGTATTCTGCACATGCCTCTGCTTATTCACCCCGACAACACCTCAAATTCCTGCCCTGTCGTGGGGAGAACAATCACAACCACAGGCAAATGATATGCTTTGCTGGATGCTTCTTGCAGTGACCATCTTGCTCAACCGACTTTCAACAAGCCATCTGTGCTGCAGACTACAACGGCCCGGGAAACAATGCTCTTTGCCACTGTGTAATAATTGCCCACCGCCTTTCATGACACCATGTTACAATAGGGGGTTATACTGGGTGTCTGCATGCCTGGGGTGTTATAACAAGCTGCTCTGCTCCTTGAAGAGTCTGGAGGCCAGGAGCCAGCAAGCCCTGTTCGATTGTCAGACACAGATGGGAAGGGGTCAGGGGGTTACTATAAAAGACTAAGAGAATACAATTGGAGGTGGGCTATAGGAAGCAGGTGGGTTGCTGTGGCCAGCCCTGGAGTGGAGAAGATGCAAGAGGAAGATCCTCTAGATACCTACAACTTGCTTTGGTCAGGAGAATAGCTTTGTTTTGTACTTGAATAATATACTGAACTCTGAGAAAGGGGCCTGATCCAGGCTCTTGGGCTGAGGGACAGGCCAGCACGCTGCATGTATATTGTAAAGAAAGAGGCTCTGTGAAATTCTTCAGAACTACCATGGGGTCACTAGGCTCTGCTGTTGTCATGCAGTTGTGGTTACTAGTGGAGCTGCTAGTGTTGTTTCATTTTAGTAGCACAATGGGTTTAATGAAAGACTAATCTTTAATTCCTGGAAACTCCAAGACAACCGGGGAAGGCTGGCAACCCTACAGATCAGGTGTGTGGCAATGCAGAGAGGGAGGAGAGAAAGAAAGATATGAAGATGGATGGATGAGGGGGATTGACCCTGAGGTAAGGAGCCTTTTGTTGCTTGGACACTCCTACATCTCCAATCCAACCACAGGGTGGGGAGAGTGGATGGCTCAGAAAAGTGAGGGGGGGAGGAAGGAAAAGGAGTTTCCCTTGTTAAATATAATTAGAGCCACAATACAGTCCTATGTGTCCACTAGCAGTAAGAAGAATGTGAGTAGTTAGTGCTTTATTTAATTTTGATTTTATTTGTGCTGCTTCTCGGCTCCTTGGAGCTAAGATCCAAGTGTAGTGTCTGTTCTTATCAGTTTAATTTCTTCTGATGGACATCTGTGAACACCCGTCCTGAAGATGGAATCTCCTGCAGCCATTTTTGAAAAAATTGATGCTGCTTTGAAGATATACTCCACTCCTGCTATTTCGGAAGAAAACTCTATTTCACCTTCAGCTACACTGTTGTCAGCTGCTGCTGTTCCTGTGTTCTCTACTTCCCAGAAAGCTCAGCGGAAACCTATCCCAAAGACCACCCTTGGTGCTTCACAGAAGACCCGGACCACCTGCAAGGATGAAAACATTCGGAGGTGGCTGAAGAAAACCCCCATGGATACCTCTGCAGGGAGACCTAGCACCCAAAGGACAGCTCTTCGGGACCTCACATCCAGGAGCAAGAATATCTCAACAGCTCTTCAGGAGTAGGACCTCTGGAAAACCCTGCCTGCTTCCCAGGACCAGGATGTGAGCGCTGCCCTGCTGCTCCAGAGAAGGCTGCCACCAGAAGAGTCCCCCGCCGACGACCCAGGACCAGGATGCTGATGGCTGCCCCGCCAGGAAGGATGCCACCGGAGGAGCCCCCCCGACTGACCCGGGACCAGGATGCTGATCGCTGCCCCGCTGCTCCAGAGAGGGAGGCTCCGGAAGGAACCACCTCCTCAACCCCAGACCCTGACACTACTTATCACCCAGCTGTCCGGAGGAGGGCCGCTCGAAGGGGAATGCATTTCAGAGCCCAAGATCTCGATGCCGCATGCTGTCCTTCCGGGCAAAGAGACATCGTGGCCAGTGAGTCCAGCACCCCCCCAAGAGCGACTTCACCCCCCCAAGCTTCTCTACCAGACCCAGAGGAATCACCTGGCGAGTCTGCAGGCCCAACAGAGATCCGCCCCATGGAGAGTGAGGCGGGGAAGAAGACCGCATCTACCTCCAGTACCCGCTCCCTACAGGTCTCCTCCTCTGCCTCTTCTGTCTCCCTGTCCATGGAGTCCAGACCCTCGCGGCCCTCAGCAAACACGTTCGTAAGACCTACAACAAACGGATTGCTTTCCGGTGTACCGCTGCGATCTCCCCTTCGAGACCCAAAGGAAATGTAAGTTCCATCAAGCCACATGCAAGGGACCCCCCACGACTGTGAAGGTGAATCCCACTGACATCCTGCGGGTTCCAACCCTGACCCCCACTGATGGTCTGGCTTCAGCACCCCAGCCAGCATCCCCAGAGTCACAGCAGATAAGGGGGGACCAACCGCCAACTGAGGGAAGCGTAACCCCCGCCTCGAGGACTGACGATGCCACCAAAAGGACCAGTCCCGTCTCCAGAATCCCCATGCTGGACCCTGCTGTGAGGGGGACCACCGCCACCTCGCAAGTCAGCAAACTCACCAGACGCCTCAGCGACCTCATAAAAACCATCCGGCACAACACGGAAACGAGATGCTGCAGCGCTCCCCCACAGGTAACCTCATGCCACCCTGCCGTAGGAGCAACTAGCACTGCCCCCCAGGCCACACGGCGAGACCCAGCCAACGGAGGAGCCTCCCGCAGCCCCCAGATCCCATGGCCGGACCCCGCTCCCGGGAGACCCAACACCTCCCCCAAGGTTAC